ACATTTTAAAGAACATTTTAAAGAACATTTTAAAGAACATTTTAAAGTACATTTTAAAGAACATTTTAAAGTACATTTTAAAGAACATTTTAAAGAAATCCAACAAATGGAACTGTATTTTTGCCTTTCTATTAAAGAGAAAGAAGAAATAATACATTATATTTTGTAGCACCTACCATCAATATTTAACATCATTTTCCATAATGAAGGTCTGACCGACTGATGGAAGCCAAACCAAACCTCCCTGCCACCACCCAAAGGATTTGAGCACCCTTCTGATGCTGTAAAAAAAGATCTCCCCACGGGAGTATACCTGCAATAAAGCAAAGAAATGCACATCAGACAACTAAAGCAAAAATTGCAATAAAGCCAAAAGTAATGCAAATTCCTGTTCACAAAAGCACAGAAATGTCAAGAGATTCAAATTACCAATAATCTGAGATTCCTGGCAGGATTCAGGTTACACCTCTAAAATCCAGCTCGTTACAGTAAGAAACTGGCTACCACTCAAATTTGTTTAACTTTATTTTCAGTATACTTTTTAATATATCTACTAATTCAGACAAAAAGCATTTTTATTTGCATTCTATTAAAAATTCAGCTGCGCTTCAGTAAGAAAAGAATTAAACATCTCTGCTATTAAAACACCAACGCAATAATCTCTCCCCTTACTTGTGCGTACCCTGAAACACAACAGACGTTATGTGTGGGTAAACGAGTGATCTAATAAATACTTCTGATACATCTTTCCTCTTGATAATTAAGTACTGCACACTTAATAGCAAACTAATCATATCCAGAGCCAGTATGATCCTCTGAACAAGCTATCTGACAGTATGGGCTGTTTTCTGTGCTGTAAAACCTGATTAAAGTAATTTTACCTTTTTAATCCATAATATGAGGATAAAGTCAACATACTATAAGGTTATTTAAAGTAATTTGCATAAATTGAACCCATATTCCCTGTTTGGCCCTTCAAAATGGGAAAGTTCTGCCCTACTAAACTTTACTTTCCAATTGAATGTAATTTGCAAAGTGGTCTTAAGTGACCTGTTTCGTGGCAGCAGAATTAAGCCCAGTATCTCTTGGGTGTGACTGAAAATACTGTAGATCCCACTTACTTGGAAAATAAAACAAGTCAAGTAGTTTTTCAGTTTTTCTTTTCTATAAAAATAGCCATATAGGGTGCCATTAATGTCCCCCCAGCACTGCATCCTTTATACAGAACTGGCAATGAACATCTGCCCAAGGACACAGAGGAACAGGGTAACAAGTTGATTTAAAACCACCCTTCCACCTCTACCAACCTCCAAGTACTTCCCACTCGGGGAGAGCTTCCTTCTCCAAGGCTACAGGGAAAAGAGGGAGATGGCAGGACACCCCTGAGCCAAAAGCACACAAACAGGGAGCCAGACCACTGGGGGAAGGGTCTCGTGTCCCAGGCTGGAGGCTCCTAATCCCACCGGATGAGCGAAAAGCGCCGTGTTGCCCCTTGCCTGAGCCTGCCATCCGCTGTGGTTGAGGTATAAAAGCACATCCTACCCAAAAAGGCCACCAAAGCGATTCAAATAACACCTAAACCACGTCAAGGTCTTCCCCTCACCTCATGGAAGGCAAGTGCCTCATCACTACATCCAGTGCCTGGATGGTCTCAAACGGGACACTTGGCAGCCGGCCAGAAAGAGCATCATGTAAAGCCTGCAAACTCACACAGGACATCCACTTTATAGCCACCTTAAATATTCTGTCCTTTCCTTCTCCTGGCAGCGTGACCTCCAGCTCCACCTGCAACAATGCCAAACAACAAACCAAGATGATTCTTTCCATTGAAAGAGGGGGGAGAAATGGAAGGGGCTCAGAAGGGACGAGTGATTCCTCTAAACAGCCCTATAAAGCATGGGAGGAGACAAAAAGCAACATGATGAAGCAACAACATACATTAGGTACAGCCTCTTTTTGCAGTTGAGATCTTCCCAGAGGTGTATTTCAGAAACCTGGATGCTTCCCAGCTGGCAACTATCTCCCTCTGTCAGGCAATACTGTAATTTGGGAGCGCTTGTATCAACCGGGAGGTCTCGGTGAAGATCCGAAAACCTGATTTCAGATCCCTACCACGTCCCAATGCATCACTGCTCATGTCAGCTCCTGCACGCCCAAAATAAAACATGGGCTGTCACCACCTGCCAAGACTCATGAATTTCTGGTATTTGCTCTCTAGAGCACCCGAGTGCTTTATATACTACTGCTGTAGACAGTTCAAACAAGAGAAAACAGGAGCTTTAAAAAGAGATTAAAAAACCAAACACCAACCCCCCCAAACAAAACAAAAAAACCCACAAAACCCACCAAGTCAAAACCCTCTTATTTTTAAATACCAAAGAAAGAATAAATGGTGATCCCCAAGTACTAACAATGATATTAGGCATGAAACATCTTATGCCATCTTATGCCTACTTTGAATTTTTTTGTCTAAAAAAACACTGACAAACTACATTACGGTAAATTACTTCATCCAATTACTTTTAATTATTTGTACTGCTGATTTCTCCTCTTTCTTAAAACAAAGAAAGTCTGAGCACCAAAGTTCTTAAGCCGACTAAAATTAAGGCTTGTCTGAAATGATTAGCAGTTGTTGGAGTGACTACAAGAAATAACAAGATCAGAGTATCCTTTGTGCTGGATACAAACAAAAAACGTTGTATTTTCCTGTCCTAGGGAGCTTGCAATTTAAATACAAAAGGCATCCACTTAACAGACAAACTGCAATTAGTGGGCCAGCAAATAGGTGGGTAACAGCAAACCAGGATCTGCCAGCATCTGGTCTCTTGCAACAGTTCGATTCTTCTGCCCAAAAATAGGAAGGAAAGATAAAACACAAATAACAAGCCTTCCCCTGTGCACCAAAAATGAGCTGACCATCTATAGTAGGCACACAAAATTAATATTACAGCTGCATCTTTCCTCTAGCACAGACGTCATTCCCCAGGAGACCCGAGCAGAGGAAGGAGCTGCACGGCTGTGGGACAGCAACGGGAACTGGAGTCTAATCACGGGGTCACTGGGGTGAATCTGGCCCAGAAGGTCAGCTCAGCTCAAATCTGTGCAAAGACAGGGACAGGTTTTCAGCTCACACAGGCTGGAAGCTCTCCATGAAACCTTTTTTTCCATCACACCATGAAAAGGTCCTCAACTTGGATCCCACGTACAGCAGGTGGAAGAGTCTATCGCTCCTGAAGTGTATTTTCCTTTAAACCTCTCTCCTCCTCCAAATCAAGTTTCGTAATTTCTGCTTGAGCAACTCCGTCTAGTGGGAGATGGCCCTGACTATGGCAGGGGGTCGGAATGACATAACCTTTAAGGTCCCTTCCAACCCAAACCATTCTACACTTATTCCCAATACTGTTAATACACAACTAATCTGATTATTAACAACTGTTGGCATCCTTAATCTAAAAAAAGGATTTTACTTTTTTTCGCCCACCCCTGGTTTCTATTTAGAAAACTCCTTCACCATGATAGAATGGAAGATGAAGAATGTGTTGCAGTATCCATGTCCCTGGTGGAAATAAATGACCCAGGATTGAAGAATTTCTATTCCAGGTGTTCGACTGCAAACACCGATGAGGTTTAGCAGAGCTGTGACTGCTGAATTTGGGCCAAGCAGTTTTTGCTGCTGGGTCTGACTCCAGAAGAGTTGAATTAAGAGTCACCGCTCAAATAAGTAAGTTTTAAATCCAACTTTCCTGTTTGTTTTTTTTTTTCCCCCCTTAAATATCTCACTTCATTTACACACTACTGAAAGTTAATGTTTAGTTAAAAAAAAAACAAAACAAAACATAAAAATATAAAAAAATGTGTCCTTAATCCTCATGCACAAGTTCACACATACTTTTAGGCACTGCTAATCAGAGTCTATATCTTTCAGTAATATTTTATTTATTCCACCCTATTAAGGACAAATGAACACATTTATGTTTGACAGAGTAAACAAAACAAGAAAAATTTCAAAAGGAAGTAATTTTAAATGGGAATTTTACTATATCTTTAACTATTAGGGATAAACTCTACAGCAAAATTTAATGTTTGATTTATAATCTATCCCCAAATAATAAAAAAAAAAAATCTACAATCTCAGTCACTAACCTGCTACCTGCTAGACTCACTGCTGAACTGCAAGACAGTTAACATAATTTTGCAGCTAAAGGAACTAAACAAAAGGGATTTTACTGTCAGGATGAAAAAAATCATTAAGCCTGTAGAAAATTTTTAAAGCCATTCTTAAAAAGAATAGGTCTTGAAGCTGATGTGGTCTGAATTACTAATACAAATCAGAATAGCACTGTTTAAAAATAACAGAAATTTAACCTGACCATGTGTTTCTGGGGAATTCTTAGTACTCTTTCTTCTGTATAAAATATAGGCAACATTACATGATTATTTTGCCGTGTTTTGAGCATACAAAGTACCTTTTCTTTATTAATCCAAGAGTTTTTCCTTCCCAGGGATTCAGGGGAAAGCAGATGAACAGTTCCCAATCAAATATTTGGTTGCCTACCTCCCATGGCCTTGTTTGGAAACCTCAAGCTATGGATGTAGGAAAGAGCTCTGCTTCTGTCATGTACAGAGCTCTCAGCAGGACTTCAAACAGAGAGAGGAGTAAGTTTGTGGCCATGGACAGGACTGAGACTTTCCTTCTGGAAAAGGGAACAGCAGCAGGATTGCTGTATCAAACTGCTCTGAACAGTTCATTCATAATTACTGTTTTTCTAATTAAAGACTAATTAAGATGTAGGTTAAGATCTATCAGACGCTCTTGTATCTTGCTAGGTGAGAGAACTCTCAAGTTCAATTAAAATTAAATTCTAGCTTTTAATTGCAGAGGGACATTTTAGGGAATACATAAGTAATGCAGGAATTGAGTACAAAGCTGCTGTTGGAGGTGATGTGGGTTTGCTGTTTGAACATATGAGGAAAGAGGAGACTATTAAATATCCTCCTACCTTGACATTCTCTTTCTTCTCAGTGCGTACAAGTAAAAACTAAGAAAATATCATGTTAATATTTACATATTCCATATTTGTTCTGAAAGGTCTAAAGAAATGAAGAAATTAAAGAGTGAAAATAAGGTACAATAAGGAAAGAATGAAAACAGGTTTGATAACCAGGAAAGCCAAGCAGAAGAGTATTTATATAAACAGAAAAAGTTATAAAAGAAGCAGAGTTGTCAGCAAGGACCAAAAAAACCCAGGCCAGAACAACCACTACCAACTAGAGATGAGGAGAGAGTGCATTAATTAAGCTGAAGAGCAACAGGAGGGGGAAAAAATATTGACAATTTGGTGTCAGCCCTCTGTTTAGCACCAGTTCTTCCACCACCAATGCATACTGCAAGTAAGTTAAGATCTTCCACTTAGATTAAGGATCATCTATTAATCACTGTATGTTCATGAATCTTTTCAGTGTGATCCTAAACGTAATCAGATGTGCAGCAAGCTTACTCATTTGTTATGTACAGAACAGTCAAAGAAAACTCCACCAAAGAAACTTAATCTAATTATGCTGGAGCAAAGTCCTAATACCTACAAGCTTCACACTGGTTTAAATCATGCTTAAACCAATTTAGCACCATGTAAAAATTTCCTGCATTAAGCTAAATTTCCCCACGTCCGATTTTAAACGGCTCAAGGTTTATCTCTATTAGCTCTTTCCTCCAGGGGAACATTAATACATGTAGAGCAGAACAACTGACAGTGTCCTGTATCCCATGGGAAACAGGAAAAAACCCAGGAGTTTATAGAAAGTGAGCCTAAATGTGAGCCATAGATGAAACCACCTGAACTGTCCACTAAACCTCCACTAAAAACACCTCCTCAGTGACCACCTATTCCATGTGATCATCACTCTGGCAAGATTGGGAACTTTTTTCCTGGATGAGGAAAAAGAAGTAATCTCTAATACTTTTAATGAGCCCTTTATAGTTTACCCAGACATTACCTTATTGGTTAATGAAGAGTAATTAAGACTGGAGGAGAGACTGACCTTTACTGCACGACATTCACTTAAACAGATTGGGAGGAAATAAAAAAAAATAAAGATTAAGAGCTTGATTCAGGTAGAACTATTAACTATGTCAAGCACTGCACAAGCAAACAGTACGGGACAGCAAAGAACTATTTTAGAGCTGCTGAATTTCAGAAGACTTGAGCTCTGTTCCCAGTTTCTACATTTTTCTGTATTCCCCTTTACCCCTTACATTTTATTTTTGTCTCCTGAGGTTGTAATCAACGCCTGTGGGATAGGATAGTCCTTCCCTGTAACTGTGCAGGCCTCACCTTGCACCCATAGCAGAAGGGACTTACTGTACTACCATCAGGAATGAAAAATGAATGAAAACTAATGATAAAAAGGCCACGGAAAATTCAAACTAGTATCGGATCACAGACACCCAGACTAAGTTATTTTATAGGGCTTGTGTGTTAGCATGTTCCAACAGAGTCCCTTCTACTTCACCAGTCAATGGGCACAGGAGCAGCTCCAAGCAGAGCCCAAAGAGGTCACCGCCCCATGGAGAGCTGGCAAAGAGAACAGTCCCCTCCAACTGCCCCAGGGCTAAGACAGCAGGTCTTAACCTGTGCAGTTTAAATTAGTTTGGCTCTCAGTCATAAAGGATTAGGGAAGAGGTTCTATACAGGCAACGGAGAGATGGAGGAGCTTCTTCCAGCTACTGATAGAGAGAATAAGCTTAGAGTGAGCCTTGATGAGATTAGCGAGGTGACAGAACAGCTGCTGCTGCCTGGAGGGTGTTCCCAGTCCCCTCTAAACTCAGCTCTGTTCTCACTTTCTCCCTAGTGCCAGTCTGGAGCTGGTCCAGTGTCTGGGGCAGCTGATCCAGCTCACCAATGCAGCAGAAACCACGCCAGAAGAGAGGAAGAGAGGGAGGAAAGAAGGGAGATGGAAGGGGGAGTGACCACTCCACACTTGAGTCCTGGCAAACCACATCCTGAGCAGAGCACAACAGCAGGAGACACCTACTCCAGAAACAATCTGTTCTATCAGCTGTTAGACAGGCTCTGCAAATACCACCTTAAAATCTTCAACTAGAAACTTTTCTATTTAAAACTTACTTTATCTCTCCCGATGGGAAGTGGCATAGCTGTGTAAAGGTTTTTTCTTCCATCAAACACTGGTTTGCGGTCCCCAAAAATCTGGGTTTTAAAGTGCTGAACCATATGCTCCACTATTTCTCTGAAAATACAAAAAGATTAAGTTAATTCAACCTTTTACTTTGAATGTTAAGTAGCAGATGAATACTAACACTAATATGTACCAATAGAGGTATTAGGTCAATGAAAGGATTGTCCATTTTTGGCTATTAAAGGCAAGATTTGTTTGACTGATCTGAATTAATGCAACCTTTTCCCAGACTATACTGTTTTCTTAAAACTGCTATTTTTAGCTTTTTCAGGTTTAAACTTTCCTTCCTCTTTTCTGTGATCTAATGAAAGTGGTGAAGTGAAAGCTTGTGCTTTCTCACGCTCAAAACTGGTGCTGGGTATCTCCTGGGGCTTCTGCTTCCCTGTCCTACAGCCCTTTCTGCAGAGGACCAAAGACTCAGCAGACTAAGCAGCTTTCAAAAATATCACTATCCCAGCTTACAGCCTCAGTGTAATGATGACAGTTCTATGATGACAGCAACATGCAAACTTTCTGCATTGCACTAGGATAACTTTTCAATTCAATTTTTTCATGTCCCCAGAAAAACTGGGATCCATCCAACAGAGCTGGATATGCCCTTTCACCGGGACCTGTGCATATTAAAAATATTCATTTAAGCATGGCTGGAATTAGGCTGCATGTCTGTATGAAGTGAGTGGGGAAACCACTCACACAGTTCTTGTCAAACCACAATGTTTACACACTGGTCATGCAAAGCAGTTCAGCAGCCATGGGAGGTCAGCTGGAGTAATAACACCCTTTGATGCCAAAGGTCTTTGGCCCCAGTGTCCCACAGAGACATCCTTCAGGCCATGTGTGATATCCAAAATCCATCAGCAATGTGCAATCTGAACACACAGCCTGGGGCAAAAGGGCATTAAGAGGTTAAAATGACAGAGAAAGGAAACCACTGTTCCTTCAGCACTGCTGACAACCACCAGCTCGGAGATGCTGCAGGTGAGTGCTTCATACACCTCCACTTGGCAAGGTAATTAACCCAGCACACAGTCAGGTATTAGATGCTGCAAAACCTGAGATGAAACTCTGAGCTCATTCAAGAAAAGAATTAAGACTATTTTAACTGGCAATTTCTTTGCTGTGTCCCAAGACTTATCTTAAAATAAGATGTGACCACTGAAAGAAACTCTTATGACTTCTGTGAAGTATGAATCAAACCTGACCCAGTAATATCTGCCTCAGGTCTGCAGTGTCTGACTGAACAAGTAGATAATTTGAAGGGTGGGAGGAAGGAGGTACTTTTCAACCTTGAGTTAAAGATTGAGCTATGGAAACCCCACTCTCTTTCTGAGCAAGTTCTTCTGGTTGTGAACTGCTTTATATAAAAAAATGAACACTTCCACTTAATGTTTTCAAGCTTCAAACCACATCCACATTTAGCAACAGAGCTTCTCAGCTGTGGGCGGAGATATCAATGAAAACTATGTTATTTTCTCCATTTGAAGTTAAAAGAAGAGTTATTTACAAATTCACCAACTTCAGCCCTTTGGGACTACTGTTCTGTTGAGCTCCTGTAAGCACACCAAGAACTCTGGGCCAGCTACTGGACCCACAGTTCATCCTGCACCCTGACAAGTCCTTGTGAATTAAAGTGTATAACCAAACTCACACTGCTCACTCAGCCTGTCCAACTCCCAAATAGACCTGACCTTTCTGCCACACATGAAGAATTGCAGCCAGACTGTATTAATTTGGCACAGCAGCACGTTGTCTCAGCTGTGTGTTTCCCAGCCCTGCTCCAGCTCATGTCTCAGTGTGGAACTTGCACGTACACTACACATCCTGCAGGGATCTGCAGGGCCACAGCATGAGCTGGAGTTAGTCCTAGAGTAAAACTGAAGAATGAAGCTGGGACAGATGAGGAAGTAGAGCAAAAAAAATCTCCTTCTCTCCTTTTTAGAGGTTACAACATGTAAAGTAATGATAAAAACTACTTACTAAAAATATACATCTGAATTACATAACCAAAATACTAGAAACATGTAAGCCAGTTGGAAAAAAGCATCATTTAGAATTGGATTACACATGCATCCTGCATAATCCCATATACAGATATCCCATATCCCATGTATCCCAGTACACACATAGGACTGAAAAGTCAGCTCACAACAACCCAGGTAGGGGCAGGTGAGTGCAGGTACATTACAGGGTAATACACAAAGCAGTAAGAACTCAGAAGAAATAAAACATACACTTCAGTAAGTGAATCCAATCTGTATTCTTACCATACTGAACTGAGAAACGTGCACCACACCACTGCTGAATGCATTTATGACATCTCTGCTTACTGCAGAGGGCATTTAATCTGTGCAGATCTGTCCCTGCTCCTGTTACCACAACAGAGGAGTGACCAACCTGACAAAGCAGAGCAGGACACGAGCTGGCAGTGGACAAAACTTGCTGCTGAACATAATCTGCCTTTTCAGTGAGGAAAAACTGCTTTAATAATTATGCTCTCTGCCACTGGCAAGCACCCACATGCGGGACCATAACAGAGTGATCACACAGAACTACAACACACACGAGCCATGCAGCACTCAGCTCCCAGAGGAGCTACAGAGGCAACGTGGATCACTGTGGATCGGCCAGCAGCAGTTGTGAGGGCTGGAGCAGTGGCAGGAATATCAGTCAATGAAAGCAAAGCTCTCATGGCTCCCACTGTGAAAAAAGTAACTGCTCCAAGTGTTTTTCAGTGGTCCAGTGCAGTAGGAGCATGTTGGTGAAATCAGCACTTGCCCTTGGGCAAGAAGAGAGTTCAGCTTAATATATTTAACAACAGTCTTTGCTTTTAAAACTAAACTCAGTTCTTGACTACCTGAAAAAATAAATTTATAACAGATCACCACAGAAAAAAAAAACAGACAGCAAAGCACAGTGATGCTGCTTTATGAAAACACTGTCATCACCAACTCCTCAGAATAACAACAGAGAATGCCCTCAGGTTTATTAAATCACATTAAGAAAACCATGGCTTTCAGGTGGCTTTTTTGACTCCACACTTTGTTCATTTTCATGATTTCACATTCCACCCATGTGACCTTTTTTAACAAGGAAAGGTTTTGCTCTTGAATATATAAACAAGCCATTCTGATCCTCTACAGCTGACATGTAGGTAGTTATGATGATGACACTTGTGGTTTCCAGTCAGTGCCAAGTCTCGTTCTCAAGTTTCACTTCTGGCAACGCCGCTCTTTTTCAAGTCAATGAAGCTGCACACTCTGACTAACAAGGCACACATGCCAAGTGCAAGACCTGCCTGCTTGTTTCCTTGGCCACCTTGCTATCTGTGTCAGGAGCAGAGCTTTCCCTTATATAGAATCTACTGATGCAGGATAATTTCTTACCTAATTTAGTACCTCTACGATCCTCTCACAGCAGGACAAACAAATGGGGTTTTCCTTCCTTTGTGAGTAGGGAAAGCTGGGAAAACAAGCTGGTTACACCAACTCCCTGCTGAAGGACTCATCAATTGCACTTCAATATTTAACCAAGCAACACTAAATCATATTTAACAAGTTGGCTCATACTGACCCAGCTCCACTAGAGCTAGTACAGTTTATCCATCTGTCACCAGTGGCGTTGATCAGCAGCATCTTAAGATGCTGACAAATTCAATCCAAATAAAGACTTGGAGGGAAAAAAAGAGCCCATGGATGGATATGCAAAGTTGGAAGTGATCAATACAACCAGTGGCTAAAGCCAGACACATCCTCTCAGCCATCGGGGAAAGCACATGGGTCCAGCATTTTCAAAGGAAAACAAGACTGTAAATAAACTGAGGAAAAGCAAAGCACAGTATTACCTGTTAACTCTTCTAGGGCATTTTTCTGGCTTTATATCCAATTCATAATGGTAGATATCTATTTTAGGAATGTCCATTTCAAAGAAGTTGGCCTGCAGTTTGATTGTTCTCCCAGAAGTGCCAAAATCTGGTCGAGGAGGAGGTTTAAAGGCATATCCCTGTATTGGTGGTGGCAACGGTGGAGGAGGTGTGAGCACTGAAACAGAGAGAAAGCACAGCTTAGCCATCAGCTGTATCAAACTGACAGCTCAACAAATTTACCAATGGCTATCTGACCAATGAATCACAGCACATTTCAACTGGTAGCTTTTTTTAAACAATCGAAAGCATAAAAAAATACAAATAATAAAAAAACCCTGCTATCAGGAGTCCATGAATTCTATCTTCTTCCCATGCTTGTTCACCATTTGCTGTATTTCCTAGCCCTGATTACTGAACAGAATCTTAAAATCAGTTGCATTTTCCTATACTACAAGTCAGCTGGGTGGGAATGTCATAGTCCAAGTGGGCACTGCTGAGAAAGTGAGAACCATGATCTTCCTTATAGGGAAGAACCTTGGTTTCAAAACAAATCATTTAAGCACCTTTATTTAAGCAAACACCTATAAAATGGAGTTTCCACCACTTTCTTCCGTGCTGCAGCTCTCTGGAAAACACTATGTATTAGAATTAACTATATCCTACTGCTTCCTTTACACAGAAAGCAAACAGAGCAAATACTCTATTGCTGCTGTACTGAATTCTTGAGCTCAAACACCAGACAGATCAGACAACGTGAAGCAGAAGCACAATAGCTGCTTGTCATTGTTTCAATCTAGGGAATTCCACTAAAATCCACAGAGAAGTGTGTGAGGTACCAACTCAGGTACTGAAAACTTCAGCCTCAGTACTCAGGTGTTCTGTGGTCTGGAGCAATAACAACTTGCAGTAAAACCTTCACATATGGAGTAACCCAGGAGGCTTCTCATTACTTATGTAAGAAGCCAGGTGTGGTTTCCTGGGATTATCAAACTCAGTTCTCTGCTAGCACCAGAAACAACACACATCCCTTCATTAACAGATCACTCACCACTTTTCCGCCCTCGCTTTCCCTACTGGAAAGCTGTTCCAGAACTGTGATGCTTCAACGCTCAGAAACATCCTTCTATATTTATTTATTCATTGGCAGATTATACTCTGTGATTCTTCAGATTGAGTACTCCTGACTGCATTTTTAGATTTAAACCAAATTCCCATTTAATACTTAATTCTAGGCTAAACTACTTCTGTTAGTCTCTTCTCATAAACCTGACAATGCCTCCTATACTCCACGGTGAAGTTTCACATACTTATTCCTAACGTTTATGCAAAGTTTGTTAATGAAATAAGACCATTCCCATCATTAGTAGCATCATTTCCCCACTTTACCCTTCAAGACTCCCCATGGCCAGTTTCCCATTCATCAGTATCTCCTTATTTTTACAGTCCTACTAACCTGACTTTCAGCACCAATTTCCCCACATACTAAATATTTTATCAGAATCCAGATAACTTGGTTTGATATTGGGAACATGCTAGGTAGATTTGTTAAATTATTTTTTTTTAAATCCTGTTTCAGATTTTGTCTCCCAAACATATTCTGAGGCATCCACCCTTTTAATGTCGTGCCACCAAAATTCCATTTGCTTTTTCCCCTCTCTTTTATAAACATTGCCATTAAAGCCTGTGATTCTCCAACACTAACTCCATCAAAACATTAAAGACACTTGTTGCTGAAGACCTGCATTTCCATGACTTAAAACTTCAGTTTTGCCTTCAATGGCAATACAGCAATTCCCACTTAAACATTATCCATCCATGTTGCCTTTGCAGTGCCAACACCTGCCCTGAGAAATGGAGCAAAGTGTCACCTCAGCTCGACTATTATCTGTGACCCAGTCCTGCCAGGAGCAGCACATCTGCCTCTGCATCTGACTATAGCCACTTCCAGCCCTGAAGGAAAGACAAAATACTCAGCTCACTAGTTCTGCTCAACCTTTGGCAATTTTTTTTCTTAATTCCTGCACATCTTGACTTCTCAGACGTGACTTTTCACTTTTTCCCAACGCTTACAGGCCCTCTGCTTCCTTCATATTTTTCTGAAGGTGATAAACTCACTCAGGTGGCCCCGCAGTCACCACATCCCCTCGTTTGGTGTGATAAATTCACAGTTTCTGTGTCATTAGGTGGAAAGCCATCCTCTGCTGTGGGTAAGACACCTAACAAAGTTATTTATAGCATTATCACTACAGCTGGAAATAACAGAAAAAATACTCCCACAAATATTTACACTTGCAATATGCCAAAGGTTTCCATGATCCACCCCCAAATCCGATAAGGAGGATGTGCACCAAGCACCTGCCTCTACGCCTCCAGAATCTCGTTCACCATCTTTTTCCCAAAGAAATCTGTCTCCCACATATGATTCCAGACATTCTGTTGCTGAATTCTTTACAGCTCATCACTGCACATATTTTTATTTCCATCCTCCCCTAACGGAACATCCCCATTTGAAAATTATGTCCTAATCATTAACGTTATTCTGTGATTTTTTTGTGTGTGTATTTCCACGATCCCCATAACAGCACCCATTCAAAAATATTTTAATTTTCTGCTCAGGCTCCTGGAATTTGGATTTTAACATTTCCATTGCTTGTTATTCACACTCTGCATTCCAAGTATGTCCTTACCACTATTACCTGGCCAACTGTTATCAATATTGAGCAATTCTCTTCTCCTTCCTGTTTATTTTTAGGCCTTCTAACATTTCTGTATCTAGTTCCACATCCTAATTTCACTGACCTTCCTTTTTCTGTGCTACATCATGACTAGATTTCAGAAATACAAAAAAAAATTAAACTTAGGAATTGGAAGTACAAAGACAAGCATCATGGAAGGGGACACACCCCCCCACCAAGCTATTTATGCTGCCAATTAAAGTAATTTTGTAATTAAGCAATAGACCCTCCTCCCTCTATATTAAAATGGGATTGGGTTTTGCTTCACAGAGGCACAGTGAAGCCATATCTGTAATTGTTCAGGGACCAACACAAGCACATGCTGCTCAACAACATCACCACATCCCTCCACTGGCGTTTTAGTGAATAAAAGTGAGGGCACGGACTCAGTTTTGAGAATAAGATGAAATGCTGAGAGTGGCACAACTCCTGGGGAAGGATGTGAACACAGTTTTATAACCTGCATGACTCATGGAGGGGAAAAAAAAAAGCACCAAGCTGTTCAGAAAGCAGCACCACTGCCACTTGCATTTTCGTTTTAAACGGTTTTTTCAATGATTTGGTTTTTTACGATCCAATTAAAGAAAAAAAATTAAAAAAAAAAAGAAAAGGAAGCTATTTCTGGCTCAACTCCCAAGGCAAACTTATTTAGGGCAGGGTGTTGCTTCAAGGAGATAAGTACTGTTTATTAAACAGCAGCACTGACCCGATAAGCACTCAGCCTACATTTCTGCCGCCTCAAACAGAGACGTGTGTTAACTACAGAGCTGAGGGGTGGGAATTGAACTCCAGGGGAAAAAAGCTAAATAATACAACCATTGATCTGAATTCACATTTTGGACTACTGCCTCAAATTGAGAATGCAAAACCAAACTATCTTGTGTTAAACTTACTACAGCAACCAGCTGTGAAGTGTAGCATTACAAAATGAATTTGGTGCTGACAGAACAGAGGGATAAGGCTCCACCTTGTATCAAAACATGATAGAAGCCTTGAGCCTTGATCATGAGACGCAATTGCAACGTTCAAAGTGATCAGCTGCCCCAACTCCCTGTCCAAGTACTCCTGCAGAATTCCCATCACTCACTTTTCAATGTGACAGAAGCTGTATGGACACAGGAAAGCTTTCCTTAGTGCAAAGGTTCCTGCTGGGAAGCTTTTGCAGCATGGTGAGGTGTGTTACAGAGGATGCCACTGGACATCAGAGCTGGAAGTGATGCCCTGCCCCAGGAAACCTGCCAAAATTCACATCCCAATGCACGTGGAGACACCATCATGAACACAGATGATGCTTTGGGAGGGACAGTATCCCAAAGCGCTGGAAAATCTACATGCATTCCTGGATTCTACTTATAAAGTGCTGTCAAGGAAAGACAGAACTAGAAAAAAGATGAAAGACTAATAAACTGGAGCATCCATGTGATAAAGTATTGGAAGCTCCTCACTCATTTGCTAGACCATACAATGAATAATGAGAACATTTCAGCCTTGATATGATGATTAAGACCATCAAGAGCCCCATTTTCAAGTGTGAATTTTTATCAGGAAAAAACACAGACTTCCCATTATAATTCATCCTATTTACATAAACTGAATGTTCATAGTTATCAATCTTAAAAACAGCAATTTCTACCAAAAAAAAAAAAGAAAACCTAGCAAAGACAGATATTAGAAAAGTAACAGTCTTGTGGCAGTTTTATCAAATAAAAATAATAATCCAACAAAATTATTCTGTCAAAAGAGAGTGGTAGGGGAAAGGTAGCTGTAGAAGAACCCTGAGCAATCACAGAAATGCGGCTTTAGTAAAAAAAAGAAAAATTGCTAATTGAAAACTATTGCAAACCCAAAGCCGGCTGTGTGTGTGCTCCTACTCCAGCCATTACTGGGGATCAAAATCAGAGATAAGGGTGACTCAAGGAGCAGACAGGCCAAGACACTCCAAGTCTATAAAACGTGTGAATGAGCCGCACACTTGGATGAGCCGAGTCTACTCCAAAATCCACACAATTATGTAATGATATTTTTCAGGACTGTTTGCTCCACAACCATTCCCCAGACTGGGAGAGTTCATTTCTTTTGTCCTTCATTCTTCATCATTTTTTAAAGCTCAACTGCTGGTCCGCCCAGCACGCTGGAAGCGCTGCCAGTGCATTAAACGTGCACGTTGAAGATTTTTTAGCTGAGAATTGTGCAATTTTAATGTGCAGTCAGAAGCCTAATGAGTTACTGAATAAGAAGGGGCCAAAGCAGTTGCATCGAAGGGCTTGTCGACACAGGAAATCGTCTGAGCATAATTACACCAGTGCAATTATATCAATAAGTTTCCTTGTGTGGCAAGTCCTAACTCATATTTAATAATCAGGTGATGCTTTCACAACTCACAGTATGTTTTAGCAGTGGGCTAACCCAACCTATGTCTATCAAAAGGTAGACTCTCTAA